TTTACTAGTTGATGAATCCTTTGATGTGTCACGCAAGGAGCAAATGGCTATCGTATTTCGTTATATTGATAGAATGGGATTTGTAATGGAGCGACTTATTGACATTGTTCATGTTGAAGATACTAGTGCTTCATCTTTAAAGGAGGCAATTTTTAATTTACTTGCTCAACATTCTTTGAGTCCATCAAGTGTGCGTGGACAATGTTACGATGGGGCAAGTAATATGCAAGGTGAGATCAATGGCCTTAAAATGTTGATTAGACGAGAAAGTAAATCGGCTCATTCAATCCATTGCTTTGCTCATCAACTTCAACTAACTCTTGTTGGGGTCTCTAAAAAATGTGTTGAAGTGGGAAAACTTGTAGTATTGATCTCAAATATTTTTAATGTATTGGGATCTTCTTTTAAGCGTATGGATAATTTACGAGATTCTCAAAAATCAACAATTCAAGTGGCATTAGATATGGGTGAACTTACAACCGATAGGGGCTTGAATCAACAACTTGGTCTTTCAAGAGCTTGTGATACTCGTTGGGGATCTCATTATAAATCCTTTAACAATTTTATTATTATGTTTGGCTCTATTCTTGAGGTTCTTGAATCACTTGCTCTTGATGCAAGGAGTATGGATGAAAGAGCCAAGGCAATGGGACATCTTGAAGCTTGTCAAACATTTGAGATTGCGTTTATGTTGCATTTGATGAGAGATGTCTTAGCAATCACAAATGAGCTTAATAAATGCTTACAAAAAAAAGAGCAAGATATTGCAAATGCCATGCTACTTGTTGAAGTAGCAAAGAGAAGGTTGTAAGTCTTAAGAGATGATGAATGGGATTCTCTTATTGCCAAGGTATCTACATTTTGTATCAAACGTGATGTTTTGATACCTAACTTTGAGGAGCCATATGTTAGCTCTTTAAGATCACGGCGGAAACTTGCTAACTATACAATCTTACATCATTATCGTGTTGAAGTGTTTTGCAATATCATTGATTGGCAACTTCAAGAACTTAATGATCGTTTTGATGAGGTGACTACCGATTTGCTCCATGGAATTGCTTGCTTGAATCCAATTAACTCATTTTCAAGTTTTGACATAAGAAAAGTAATGAGAATGGCTGAATTATATCCAGATGACTTTGATGAATCCAATATGAGTATTCTTGAGAATCAACTTGCAAGTTACATTGTTGATGTTCGTGATGTTGATGAAAGGTTCTCCGATCTAAATGGGCTTTGTGATCTTTCCAAAAGATTAGTTCAGACAAAGAAACATTCAAATTATCCTCTTGTATTTCGCTTAGTGAAACTTGCTCTACTTTTACCAGTTGCCACTGCCTCCGTTGAAAGAGCTTTTTCGGCAATGAAGTTTATCAAGAATGACTTGCGGAGTCAAATGAGTGATGATTTTTTTAGTGGTTGTTTGGTGCCTTATTTAGAAAAAGATGTATTTGATAAGATTTCTAATGATGTTATTATTAAGACATTTCAAGATATGAAACCTCGTAGAATACAATTGTAAAAATGTATGTAGTTGTATTTTCAAATGTAAAACTATGTTTTGATAGGTTTATCCGCATGTTTGGTTTCTTAACCTCCCTTCAAGGTTGTGTAGTTTTGTAATGTAATGAAGTCATTTTATGCCAAAAAGAATTTTTGTGAAGAAATAGTATTTTCGCTTTGATTTGTGTTTTTTGTTAGTCTTTCTAATGTTAAATTTGTGCTTGCTCTCTTGCACTTTTAGGAGCCGAAGAGAATTCTAAAGGAATTGAAGAACTTGTAGAACTTTTTGATTGAATTGTGCTACTTTATTATCATTTTATAGATATGTACTTTAAATTTGTTTCTTAAGATGAGTTGTAATTGTAAGAAATTATTTGAACTAAGGATTTTTTTTGTTAACCCGTTTGTTAATCAATCCGTCCATATATGACCCGACCCGTTTATTTATGGATAATATTAGCGTATTTAATTTTTTTTTTTTGAACCCCCTTGATAGAATTCCTGCCTCCGCCACTGCTTGCTAGATTCTTGTGCTCCGATTCTTTTTCGGATCACACATAGCAAGAACTTAGTACACTGAATTGTCCTTTAACCAAATACCAAATTAAAAGGATAAACAAGTATAAAACAACGGGTTAAGAACCTACATCAATTTTGAGTATTCTGTGGAGCTCCAAGGTCAAATCCAACTTCATATTGTTTGTCTCTATCACTTTTTTAAAATTTGGTTAAAATTTTAATGAAAATGTAGAAATTGCATTAACATTTTAAGAAAGATTAAATAGACTCATAAAAAAATATCTAACATGTTTTAGATATCAACAATGTAATAGAGTTGAAGTAATCAAGAGGTACAAATTAACTAATGCATAAGTGTTATAACTTCTACTTATGACTCTCATATTATATTTTTATTTATCACCTTTTAAACCATAAAAGGTATAGAGATTTTTTCCAAAAACCAATGCATATGTGTTATAACTTCTACTTATGACTCTCATATTATACTTTTCAAAAGGTACTGAATATTAATCAAACTAAACCGATACCCAAAAGAAACCAAAAACATTGAGATGGTTTCAAAAAGTCCAATTTTAGTTTTACAAAATAGAAAAATCAAAAATTAATATGGTATAAATTTTATAAAATAACCGGCCGAACAAATTCATTGACAAGTCTTAGTAGAAATTATTGAATGGGCAATGACCATTGAGTTAGGCGTATTTAGGGAGCTTTATTGGGCTCTTAAGACATAAGCCTAACAGAACTAAGTCTCACACAAAATTCGCAAGGCATTTTGAAAGTAATATGAATATCGTTGGTTTAAATCTGGTGGTAAGAGTTCTCTTTTTTAGGTGTCAGAGTAGGTGTCCGCACAGTCGTGGAGTTTGGACCATGACAATTTGATATCAGAGCTTAGGTTACTGGTCTCTCAATATAAGAGCAAATGTCGAATAGAGTCTTGTAGATAAATCAATACAAAGAGCTTCAACAGGAAAGTCATTTCAATCAAATCCATTCTTGGGGTCAAATAAAGACAAAATAGAATATGATAGTGACCTAGCGATCAAACTCAAATTCTAAAAATAAGTCAAGGCCATTTTACCATGTCTACCATCCACATCTAATCTTCGAGAATCTAACATTTGTTGCACTTCTTTCATTTCTTTCGTGTGGTTTGTTGCTTGCTGGTAGGTTGATTCTTATCAGTATCTCTATGGAGTAATTAAATACCGTTGTCTACAGCTGAAACAACACAACTAAGAAAAATTGGAATCGAAAAGGTTCCAATTGGCAGCTGGTCTTACAAGCTACGTAAATGCATGAATGATCAGCTAATGATCATCCATGATGCCAAAAAAAGGTAATGATCGTAATTTAATCTAGTGGTAAAGCTTGAAATTGTAGTTATGTGCATTGTTTGCCTGAATAACTACAAATATGTGAAGTGTAATTATTTGTATGATTGTGAAACTGTAATATGAAAAAGGTCATAGATTGATTATGTGTAGTGAGTAAGTTATAAAATTGCTATGAAGCTCAATTGAAATTTTGTCTGAAATTTTGGGTATGTGCTTTCCATTGGTAATAAGGAAAAATAAATTAAGACGGTGGAGAAACTCCAATTTCAGGACAATCATGATTGGTTTTGAGAACCATGAGGGCTATTTTGGTATGATAGCGGGAATGTGATGTGAGGAACAATTTTCTAGTGTGATTCATGATTGGTTTTATGTTAAGTGGTGTGAAGTTTTTAATTATACATTGTTGGGGTTAGTTTTGAGGTTATATTTAAGATCACAATGTGATTTCAAGGGTTATCATTGATAATTGGGAATGTGAAATGAGAGAAAGTTGTAGAAATTCACAATTCATGCGCTACCGTCATCCGGACCGCCATGCTCCATAGCGGGAGTCGCTAAAATGGCATACATGATTCTATAGCGGGGAGAACAGGACAATGTCTCTACCCTGTTTTGTTTTTAATTTTTGGGTTGTTTCAAATCGTTAACTTCACTGGGAGCTATAGTGAAAAACCGAAGATAATAAAAATCGCTTAAAACACAAACCTGACATGCATTTACGATAATAGAGTTAAAAATCAGCTGCCATGTGCAAACATAAAAAGGGGAACAAAAAAGGGAAATGATATATAAAATTAATTATAGAGAAAATATCATACCATTGTAATAAACTTTTGATATAATGAATGATCGTTCTAACAAACTTTGATTGTACTGCAAATGATTTTAGTTCCATTAATGAATTAAAATAGTCTTCTCTCTTTTTGAAATCTAATTAGGACTTTATTGTTGAAGATAATGCACATATTGGATCCTACTAAATTAACTATCTTCGACTTTAATTAGATTTTAGAAAATAAAAAAAATGAGAAAAACAAAGATTTGTTAATTTTTTACACAATAACTTTTCTTTTAGTGGGATGGGGGTGGGGAATTTATTTAAAATAATAAGGTGAAAAGCGCATGGGACATGTCCAGTGGCGGAGGCAGGAATTCTATCAAGGGGGTTCAAAAAAAAAAAAATTAAATACGCTAATATTATCCATAAATAAACGGGTCGGGTCATATATGGACGGATTGATTAACAAACGGGTTAACAAAAAAAATCCTTAGTTCAAATAATTTCTTACAATTACAACTCATCTTAAGAAACAAATTTAAAGTACATATCTATAAAATGATAATAAAGTAGCACAATTCAATCAAAAAGTTCTACAAGTTCTTCAATTCCTTTAGAATTCTCTTCGGCTCCTAAAAGTGCAAGAGAGCAAGCACAAATTTAACATTAGAAAGACTAACAAAAAACACAAATCAAAGCGAAAATACTATTTCTTCACAAAAATTCTTTTTGGCATAAAATGACTTCATTACATTACAAAACTACACAACCTTGAAGGGAGGTTAAGAAACCAAACATGCGGATAAACCTATCAAAACATAGTTTTACATTTGAAAATACAACTACATACATTTTTACAATTGTATTCTACGAGGTTTCATATCTTGAAATGTCTTAATAATAACATCATTAGAAATCTTATCAAATACATCTTTTTCTAAATAAGGCACCAAACAACCACTAAAAAAATCATCACTCATTTGACTCCGCAAGTCATTCTTGATAAACTTCATTGCCGAAAAAGCTCTTTCAACGGAGGCAGTGGCAACTGGTAAAAGTAGAGCAAGTTTCACTAAGCGAAATACAAGAGGATAATTTGAATGTTTCTTTGTCTGAACTAATCTTTTGGAAAGATCACAAAGCCCATTTAGATCGGAGAACCTTTCATCAACATCACGAACATCAACAATGTAACTTGCAAGTTGATTCTCAAGAATACTCATATTGGATTCATCAAAGTCATCTGGATATAATTCAGCCATTCTCATTACTTTTCTTATGTCAAAACTTGAAAATGAGTTAATTGGATTCAAGCAAGCAATTCCATGGAGCAAATCGGTAGTCACCTCATCAAAACGATCATTAAGTTCTTGAAGTTGCCAATCAATGATATTGCAAAACACTTCAACACGATAATGATGTAAGATTGTATAGTTAGCAAGTTTCCGCCGTGATCTTAAAGAGCTAACATATGGCTCCTCAAAGTTAGGTATCAAAACATCACGTTTGATACAAAATGTAGATACCTTGGCAATAAGAGAATCCCATTCATCATCTCTTAAGACTTACAACCTTCTCTTTGCTACTTCAACAAGTAGCATGGCATTTGCAATATCTTGCTCTTTTTTTTGTAAGCATTTATTAAGCTCATTTGTGATTGCTAAGACATCTCTCATCAAATGCAACATAAACGCAATCTCAAATGTTTGACAAGCTTCAAGATGTCCCATTGCCTTGGCTCTTTCATCCATACTCCTTGCATCAAGAGCAAGTGATTCAAGAACCTCAAGAATAGAGCCAAACATAATAATAAAATTGTTAAAGGATTTATAATGAGATCCCCAACGAGTATCACAAGCTCTTGAAAGACCAAGTTGTTGATTCAAGCCCCTATCGGTTGTAAGTTCACCCATATCTAATGCCACTTGAATTGTTGATTTTTGAGAATCTCGTAAATTATCCATACGCTTAAAAGAAGATCCCAATACATTAAAAATATTTGAGATCAATACTACAAGTTTTCCCACTTCAACACATTTTTTAGAGACCCCAACAAGAGTTAGTTGAAGTTGATGAGCAAAGCAATGGATTGAATGAGCCGATTTACTTTCTCGTCTAATCAACATTTTAAGGCCATTGATCTCACCTTGCATATTACTTGCCCCATCGTAACATTGTCCACGCACACTTGATGGACTCAAAGAATGTTGAGCAAGTAAATTAAAAATTGCCTCCTTTAAAGATGAAGCACTAGTATCTTCAACATGAACAATGTCAATAAGTCGCTCCATTACAAATCCCATTCTATCAATATAACGAAATACGATAGCCATTTGCTCCTTGCGTGACACATCAAAGGATTCATCAACTAGTAAAGCAAAGTAGTCACCATTTAATTCGTCAAGAATAGCTTTAACGGTCTCTATCTTACATGCACTCACAATATCTTTTTGAATCATTGGAGAAGTCATTTGATCATTTACAGGAGCATGTTTCAAAACATAATCATGAATTTTATCACATTTTTTTGCATACCATGAGAGAATTTCAAGAAAGTTACCCCTACTAAGTGATGATTTAGATTCATCATGACCTCGAAATGCAAATCCCCGACTTATGAGAAGTCTTACTACATCAACGACGCACTTAAGCGCATATAATATCCATGCTTGAGTTGATTAGATTGTCTCTCAAATGCAAATTGAATAGACCGCCGTTGTTGTAGTAAATCTTGACATTTCTTTTTTGATTGATTATGTATGCTATTCGATAGACCAATATGTTTGTCAAGACCACCCTTTTTGTTCCAACTCTTAAATCCTATAGTTGAAAATGTCTCCCCTCCTCCTTGATTAGTGTTATGATCTTTAAAAAGATAGCAATACAAACAATAGACTGCATCTTTACTAACACTATACTCCAACCAATCATGATATATATCATCAAACCACTCATGATTAAAACGACGCATTGATCCAAAAATATATGTTTGAGGATACTCTTGCACCGCCAAACGAGGTTGACAAGGACCATTCAAAAGGTATGCTCTTCTAATAACATCACGGTGGTTTGGATGATAGTTCAATATTGATGTTCTTTCACCAGGATCAAACTTTAAAGAACTCAAATCAAATTCTTGAGAAGAATCTAACGACACTTCTGAATGATTAGTATTTTCTTTTTGATTAGATTGACTATGACTTTGAGAGGCTAAAGTTGATTTCGGTACTTGTGTAAAATACTTCTTCACTGAATATTGAGACTGAATCGTAATAAAAATTTAGTGAGAACTTACAAAAATTAAATATGCAATAAGGACCAAAACAAATTATAAACAATGAACAAAAGTTTGAATCTCATAAATAAAAGTTAATATCCATTTAAGAAATGTTGAATGTCCATAATAAACATATAAAATCAACAAATAAGGCCAAACAAATAAAATTATAACTTTCATAATCAATTAATAGAATTGAAATTTTTATATGAAAAATAAAAAATTGTTAAGAGAAGTGAATATCTGAATTCAATTAGCTAAATAAAATAACACATCAATAAATACCATAATCAAAGCATAGAATTCTGAAAAATAACAATTAAAAAAAAAATGAAAAAGAAAACTTACAGAAGTTGCCATCACAAATGGAGCTTGAAAGAGAGAATCTGAGAATGAGATTAAGAGGACCACCACTCGTCCACCAGGGCAGCAAGCAGCAGCAACAGGGTTGGTTTTCAATGTCTCTAAATGTCTCTAAATTTTCAATGGTTGAAAATTTCTCTGTTTTGCTGACTTTCTTTGCTAGGGTAGTTTCCTATTTTGTAATTAGAAAGAATGATTTAGGGCTTTAATTTAGGCTTTGTGGACATGGGCTGATCTGGGCCTTTTTTTGCCCCTTTTGTTCAATAAAAATGGGCTGGCCTATCTTTAACTTTAAAAAAAAAAAAAAAAACAGCCTGTAAAATCGCTAAAAATTACAACAAAAAAAAATGTTGTTGCTTGGACTCGATCCCGCGACCCAATGCTCACTTGAGCGAAATCTTGAACCCCCTCAACCATTGGGCTACTCCTTTGATATATATTCAGGTGGTTCAATTTTAAATATATACATGTACATAAAAAAATCAATCTTATATATATAGTGTAATTTTTTTACCGAGGGGGGTCGGATGACCCCCCTCGAAGCACTGTACATCCGCCCCTGGACATGTCATATATAATTTCATGGCCGAAAGTTGATATATTTGCTCAGTAATACCATATGCAATTATTTATATTTAAACAAACAGATCGATTTAGATAATTTAAATCAACACAAATATTTGATGAAAAAAACAATAGACTCCAATCAGAATATGATTTTAGACCACCACAATGACTGACCAACAGTAGAATAACATAAAACAACAGACTCCAACTTTTAAATACCCTTCTATCAGACAAACATACAGAATTTTTTTTTTTTTTAAAATTCCAAACTTAGCACATTTTTAGACACCCCCCCTTACAAAGAAGATCCACATAAATTTTGTACTAGTTAAAGCCTCATGTTTAAGCCCAAATCATTTTGTTCTTCAACTAAGTTAACTAGTTCATCTGCATTTGGTGAAATAGGAATATCCAATTGATTTATCAATTGTCTTGTACCATAAACAATAGTCTCATTTGAATTTTTAAATGTTGAATTTGAACCTCCAACTCTGTTTCTTCTTTCCATTTGTAACATATTCATTGGCAGTGCTCTGCCCCTCCTTATCAGTACAACATTATTTCTTCTTGCCATTTGTTGTCTATCGATTGTTGATGTTCTGTCATTTCTTATTGAGTGGTTATAATTCCATGATGATATTGACAAGATAACAACTCCATCATTTCTTCGCGAACTCATATGTTGTGGGGTCAAAGGTTGAGTTGATGACATATTTTCTGAAAAAAAATCATTTGATGCAAATATAGGAAAACGTAGGATGGCATTTTGCGAACTCGCATGTGCTAGGGCCGCATGTTGAGATGGTGATGGATTTTCTCGATAAAATGTTTCAGATGCATATATTGGAGAAGGTAGGATAACATTTTGTAAACTTACATGTTGTGGGGCCACAAGTTGAGCTGATGACAAATTTTCCATCAAGAAAATACTAGATGCATATACATGAGAACGTAGGATGATATTCTGCTCATGCATTGATGGGTGAGTAGTTCGTACATTATTCCTGAATTCCATATGAGTACAAAACACTCCATTGCATAAAGGACATTGAAGTAATACACGAGACTGTATTAAAAATGAAGGAGAAGAAAAATTTGCATTATTCATATTTGATGTATGAATGACCAAAAATTTCTCTAAAGTAAGAATTGATATAAAAAAAATACTAATTATGCACTATAATTTCAAAAAATATGAAGAGAATTTATAGGCTACATATGGTATGACTCCCTCTTTCCTTTATATTTATTCTATTTTTGTATTGAGTGACAACTTAGTTACTAAAATATATAATTTAATGATTTTATTTTCCTGATTTGTTGCCTATATATAAGTCATCTCTTGTAACACTCCAAAAGAAGAAGAAAAAATGTTTTCTCTCGAAGTAGACAAACTTTATAAGAGGAATTTGTTCTCTTGAAATTGAACAAGGGCGCTGCTTTAAATAACCAAAGAATTTTTTATCATTTATTTATATTTAATACATTTTGACTTATGAATTTATAATTCTTTAATTATTACTAGATTGTAGTAATTATCAAGAAAAACATAATCTTAATCTTAATCTTAATATAATATAAAGGAGAAACATAGACAAGGTGATGTGGCACCTCTCTATGATCTCCATATGTATTTATCTTTTTTCTCATTTTTTTGGCCTTTATTTTTATTTAAATTAATTATTTTATTATAAAAGTCAATTATTTAATTTATTACAATAAATATTATATTAATGAAAAACATTTACAATAAAGACTCTTCACATGCCAACTTACAAGGAGTAATTATTCATAATTCATATCTCTCTAATTTCTATTATTAATAAAAAAAAATTAATTTTTTGTCCTTCTTCTAATTACAATTACGAAATTTATTTTTTTAAAAAATAATTTATCTTTATTATTTATTTTATATAAGTGGTTGTATTACTTAATTAATTACAAAAATCTATATATATATATATATATATATATATATATATATATATATATAATAAAGGTCTCTATAAATAAGGTGATGTGGCACCTCTCAATGGCCTAGAAAGCTATTTATCTTTTTTCTTCCTTTTTTGAGTTTTTCCATTCATTTTTTTCATTAATCAATTCATTAAAAAATTAAAAAAATCAATCATATTCATTACATATAATTATATCACATGAAAGTTACAAAAAAACCTCTATTTATTTGAATTCTCTAATTAAATAATATGTCTCCTCAACTTCCTTCTACTTAATTCTCATCTATAAATAACAATCATCTATGGTGTTGTTGCATGTCCATTTCTATTTTCTCCAACTTCATATTGTTAATATATTTTTTTTGTTTTTCAACTTTTATGAAGATTATAGATATAATTTTTAGAATTTCTTCTTGTGTTACAATTGCCAAGCAAAAGTTTATCAAGATGAAGAAGAAAGTTTGAAGGCGGTGTAAGATTCGTCAAAAGAGATTCAAAAATTAATTCGCTACAAGTCATCAAAACGAAGAAGAAAGTTTAATGACGGTGGGAGATTCATCAAGAGTTCGAAAGAGTACAATTTGAAAAAGTAGAAGTTTCAATAATTTACAAATATATAGATGCATTTATTGTTGCTTATATAATTTGTCAATTAATTATTTATCCATCAAGATATGTACCCTTCAAGAACAAGATTATATTACAAAGCACACTTTTTGTATCAAGGGCAACATGATCTTCCACGGATTATTTTGTTGCTTAAAGAAAACTTTTGATATTTTCATTATATAAACTTTTGTCTTTTGCATATACAATTCATATTTTATATCGATATATATATTATGTATATAACATGTTAATATGACATAATTTCTCAATCAAGATTCTATCATCTTTTGTTTAGCTTTATCCGCTTCTTTTCATTCTAATTTAGATGATATAACACATTTTTTTCTTTTGTGGATTTTGAATTGACTAAAAAGGAGATGAGTTCCCCTCCATTAAGTTTTTGTTTCTTATTTGTTAACACTTGTGTAAAATTAGTCGATATATATTATTGTTGGATTCAAATTTCACAAAACATTTAATTCTTCTAATTTAATGAAATTTTTCAGAATGAACCAAGTTTGTTCTGTCAATATCTAATTACAATGAACATATTTTCTTAAGTTTTAGAGAAAATTGATATTTGTTTAAGTTGATTATGAAACTCAAAAATGAGTTTACTCTCTTCATTAATTAATTTGTTTGAAAACTAAAAAAAATATATAATATTTATTACAGCTAATTACATCTCATAAATTAC